ATGGGAAGATTCTGCTTCAAGCCAATCAATTGGGCACTGTGTATACTGCCAAACTACGGTAAATCTCTGATGCTTTCATATATGCATCACATTGAACATCTGTTATTTGTCGCGGATCTACAAACATGTGTGTTCTATTGAAGTGAGATAATTCAGTCACTACCAATTGCTTGCAACTGATGAAATTCATTCAGTTTGGACAGCGGCAAATTCAGTTTTAGCTTTTGGGTAAGTCCCATGAGTTCATTATATGCAATAGGGAAACCGGATCTGTTGGGCAAGTTAAGAAAATCATTGGCAATAATTAAATAAATCATCCCAAAAAATACCATGGTGTTTTATCCTGTCGCATCATCAATCAATTGGTATTATAACATATTCTTTTGTAGCATAAGCATTAACTGCGTTACCAATAGGGTGTCTGCAATCACAGATGATGTGACATAATCAGCGTTTGGTTTGGGAACTGGACCTAGTGCACTCAAAATAATGGCTCTAGTTGAAGATGACACGTAATTATCCTCTACAATTTCTGAATGTATTTGCTTCCTCCATCTCATCCCTATTGATTGTAGTAGCGAACTTGTAGTTTTTCATATGCACATCTGTGTATGAAATATTTTTGTTGTGATACAGAACACTTCCTTAATGCCCTTTGAGAGAAACTATTTATCTGGATCTAAGTTTTTTTTTTCTGCACCTTATATTTTAAAGCAGCATTTTTTTAGCCGGAGGAATGGGAATTGTTTTGTCCAATAGTTTATGACCTGCAGTTATTTGGATGCTTACATGTAGCTATTGGATGGGAAGGCAACACACAGATTCTACGCAAACATTTGCATATATATACTTTACATGCTCTCTAATTAAAATTACAAATGGATCGTCTGTTGGACTGTTGCAAAGAAATCTTACTATTACCATTGTAACCAGAGGCAGAGCTTTGTTTGGACGGGTTTTTCGCGTAATGCGCCTGTAGTAAAATGTGGAATGTCACTGTACCAAGCATGGTGGTGGGATGTATGTAGTTATCAGCATTCACGGTAAATAAACATTACAATAACTCATTGCAAAATAATACACTAATTGAGAATTAATCGGTATATGATTCGTGCATTTACGCTAACACACTGGGTTGGAGTAACACTATCTAAACATATGTATGTAAGGGGGTCTAAAAACTAACTCTGCGACGCGATTGTGCGACTCTGATGATCATGATCATTTACATGTACATTAATAGACTCTGGTAAGAGGTCTACCACATTTAAATGATAATCATCTTTTTGATCATGCAAATTGATAAACTGGTCTAATTTCGATAATTAATTGATAATGGCTCAATTTTCATATCGGAAACATGACAATCGCGGATAAGAGACACTGCCGCCATTGATGTGATGTCCGCTAATGATAAAATGTGATCAGCTGCGGACTTTAAGTTCAGTAGGTGTCTTCTACGATCGATCATCAAACTTGCATGTGGAGTTGTCAAGTACATAATTAAAGTAAATGACCGCTTGCTTAGAATTAAACCAATATCAATGATATTTGAAAGGGCTTTGATTCGGGACTTTAGAAAAACGTAAGTAATAAAACTGCCAGTGGTAAATTCAAAGCAACATTTTGTTGTCTAGAGGATCTGGCTGTCACCTTAATTCTCACCAAAGTTTCTCATCTTTTCAGGGCGCAAAGATCTCTTACTATAAGCAACAAGATAACAAAAGTCTAACATTGACAAAGTATCTGTAATTTTTTTTTTGAAAAATAGTTTGTTGACCCCAATTTGATATTGAATCGAGTGCCAATTTCGCATATTTTGTTATTTATGAGTAAGCTTCTGCCTTGGGTCAACATTAGACTTTCTCTTTCATATAAATCACGGACACTTTATTCAAGCAGATTTTCAGACTACGGATGCAGTGACCACGGACACTGGTACGACCGCC